GTATGTTTTTACTGAATTTTATATTTTTGCCCTGAGCTACCATGGGCATTATGTTTCTCCTTACTTTCTTGTAAAAAATGCATAAATGCTGGGTTTACAAGGGTTGTTGGCAATGCTCCCTCTAAGCTATGGAAAATTCTACTTTGTGAGTTACTGGCATTAAAGTAGTGAGCGAGCAATTTGGCTACTGCATAAATTAGTTTGCTCTGGAGCCATCCTTCTTGACCTAAGACAAAAATGTGTGAGCCGGAGGCTAAAAACCTCTGAGCTAGCTCACACTAACATAGCTTAGAGGGAACACTGGTTGTTGGCATGATGCCAACTGTGGTCACAGTCAGTATGTTTTTTGAAGTTGTAATGTGTGTGCCTGTGTACAACCTCTCTGGTTTTATTAAGGGAGTTAACCCCCCTTTTCCAAAAGAAGTTTTGAGATTTTTCAGCAAATTTGGGTTTTTCTCTCCTTCTGACCCTGGTCCCATTGTGTGGATTTTTGATCCATACTCTGAGGCCAAGTTCAAAATTAGATATACAATGTGTGTGGGGGGGGATGGACGGACCTGCAAGAACTTGTGATGGAGGGGACACCCCAATTCTCCCCTCCCCTCCTAGTCCCTGTGACCCCCCCCCCCACTGTGACTGGCATCCATCTACCACTGCTGGCCGGCTGATGTGCAGACTTGGTTTGGAGCACGAAGCACCCCAGATATGCTTTCCTCCTCCAGTGTTCCCCATCAGTTGGCCAGTGGTAGCTTGTGGTAGGTGAGAAGGCTTGGGGGAAAAGGATGCAGCACATGCCCTCCAACAACTGTCCCCAGCTGATCAGGCAGTCTGGGCCTGGAGCAGAAGTTTTGCTGGGACATTCTTTTAACTCCAAGCCCAGGGGCCCCCCCATCACCTGTTGGGGGTTGTGGTGGAAGGCTTGGGCTAGAACATATGCAGCATGCCTTTTCTGCTGCAAAATTCCCCTAGCTGGTCACTTGTTCAGAGGTCTGAAAAAGAAAGCCCAGAACCTTGCTCAGGAGGCTGGTGGAGAGCGGCTAGGAGTAGAAAGCATATTCTGCACACATTCTACTTCAAGCCATCCTTCTGTTGCCACTGTCTCTAGCCAGCATATAATGGACTGGAAAGGAAAACATATCCAACATGCTTTCTGTTCCAAGCCAGACATTCCCCATCATCTGACCAGCAGTGGATGTGTGGGGTTTGGGGTGGGGTTTGGAGAAGAACATGACAGAGTGTACTTTCTGCTCCAGGCCTTCTTCCCCTGCCGCCCACCACCAGCCAGCTCCACCCAGGAGTTCTCATGACAGTTGTAAGATCTTGTCTGGCACTTTTTTTGAGTTGCTTCTCTATTTTGTTTTAGTTTTTAAACACAGACACCAATTTTTGGGAGAATATTTCTGCAAGCCTGGGGTTGTAGAAAAATCCTCCCATCTATATGTGGCTCCATTGCCTGGCTTTCTTAATCTGCACTGTGGTGCCATGTTCACAATTTGATATATAGATTTTTCTCTAGATTAATTGCACAAGGGCCTTCCTGATGTCGGTAATCTTTAGTCAGGAGACTCACAGGAGACTAAAAAGACTCACATTTTAGCTGTATCTGATTCATGAAAGCGCATACCCTGCCACAAATTTTGTTAGTCTTAAGGTACTCCTGAACCCCTGCTCTTTTCTTATGTTTGGAAGTTAGTATTTCAGAGTGTTTTAAGAATACAAACGAGGTGTCATTAGATGCGGGCAGTGATGTAGTTTTCTGGAAAAAATTAGAATTCTTATGTCCCTAGGAGTAATTTTTCCAGGTGTTGAAAAGGACCGCTGGTGGCAGTAGTGGGGGATTCATATGTTACAAGCCCTCATTCCTATTTTAAAATATCCTAACTGGCATGCTTTATAAATCAATACAGAAAAGCAGTCTTGTCCATCCTAATATTAAAAGATACTATTATGCAGCTGCATTGAGCTACCTAGAGGACTGATAAAAGCAACACAAACATGTAAATTCACGCTTTCCCAATAGCATGATAGCTTCAAGCACATAGGTGTCTCTTTTTGTTCTAATGCAAACAATGTACGTCGCATGTAGCAATCCTTTAGGTGGCTCAGTGCTCACTGTGAGAGTACGAAAAAACATCCTTGTCTTGATGTTAAAAGATACTATCATGCTCTACCCCATTGAGTCATCTGAAGGATGAGTAGAGGCAATGTAGATTATATCTAAAGCCTCTCTTTCCCAATACATGTACTATTTCAAAGGTATAACTAGTTTTTGTGTTCTAATGTTAATAATCTAGTATTAAAAATACTGTCATTCTGCCATATTGAAATAAATATACCTATACCTTATGGTATTTGTGGAAAAATGAATTTATAATAATCAAGTCTAATCCATGTGCATTGGCAGTTGACCTAATTCAAATCTAGGGCAAATCCTTAACAGCAGTTTAGTAATCTAAAACTGCTTGTTTAGTAATCTTCCTGAGATTACTAACTAGAAACAAGTCCTCCAACCTACTGGAATAAATGAAAAAGGGATTTGGGTACCAATATTCCAAATGAAATTTGGGCATAGCTTTATTTAGCAGCATACCAGTATTAACATTGTCTGCAGTGCAGTAATGATGTACTGCAGTAAAACTGTAGGTTCCATGTTTAGACCTGATTTGTAGGCAAGTAACAAACCATAGCTTGGGGATTCAGATGTTACAACAAAATATGATTTGTTACGAACAGGTCGTCTTTAGTTTCTGAGTTGTACACAAGGGAGGAAGAGAAGATGAGCCTGAGGAACGCGGCTACTGTGCTCAAATAAAATGGAAAGTATTTAGAAAATTCAGTCCCAGTTGTATCTTTTTCCTTCAGATTTAGTAACATATATGCACTAGGACGTGTAATATGTTGGAGGTATTGAAGAGTGGGACCTGATCTGATTCATGGTTTTCAGAAATGCCCTGAGAGGATCATATATTGAAGATCAGTTTTATGATGTATCAGAGACTTGACTGTTTTATAATACGTGGTTCAATCTACTTATTACCTTATTTGGATGTTTAAAATGTGTACTAGGTTTGGACATGGTTGTGCACAGGGGTCATTTCCTGCT